GAACATATCCTACTATATATAATTCGCTAAGTATGTCTGTGCGTGTTTGTGTAGGTCTGTGTGTGTGTCACGAAATTCATAGCGCGGGTACAGCAGTCGTTAGGAGTTGGTTTTAAGATATGATATAGGGGTGGGACGAGAACATATTTTGTGGGGGCAGAAAGTGATAACAATTGATTAGGGTTGGTATTTATGAAACGCGTAATGTAACCGGCCAGATGAATGTGCGTGTTGTCTGTGTGTTTGTCTGTCCGCCTAAAAAATTCATAATTTCGTTCCCATTGGTTGAGAGTCATCATATGTAGTCAAAGAGGTAAAGGGAAGCGGGATGGGGACACTTATAGCAAGTCGAGCGAAACGACAAATACTGATAAGAGCTGATTACGGGCAAAAACTTTGTTATGCCTTCGCGTTACAGTAAGATGTTTCGCATCCACAGGAGAGTGTTTGGATCTACATACATGAACTACAGGGACTTTAAAGGTAGATGGCTGGCAGAAATTGGGTAGCAACTGATAAGCGCTAATAAGACGACCAAGGAGGGAAATCACGAAAGGAGTAGACTTTTTCAGTGATGACGCATGGTTGGGAATGGCAAACGACAATCAAGTCATATGGGCGGTTTGCCCGTAGACAAGTTTGATCAAACTGCGTGGTGCGCGCGGTAGCTTGCGGAGCCAAGCTGCTTGATACAAATATGAAAGCTGCATGGAAAGTTTGCTATTCTTCTCCCACTCCCCTGAACTTCACACTTGATCCGGGTTTGAGGGTTCCCTGCATTGTTCAAAAACTTGTCGCAAAGTGACTTGACGCTGTAGTATTCCTTTCAGTGATGGTGTCGCTATGCTAAATTCTCTCGTGGCCGAAAATATTTGAATCGTTCAACTGAGGAGGAGGACCATCGGTGGAAGTGAGAACGTTCAGTACTTCACAGTAAGTTCGTACATAGTGAAATATAGAAAGCGTAGGGCATTTGGTGTCGATCAGCTTTTTTATGAGATGCACCACGCTCTATTTCTACTCATAAGCTATTACCATAGCAATGAATATGTCTTACACCCACGAATGTGATTTGACCTACACAACCAGTGTGTAACCTACAAAGCCCGCCTTATCCTCACGCGTGTCCCCAACAGGCCCACGCGCGGCGAAGGAAGAGACGCAGACGCGGCAAAGGACGAGTCGCAGCGCATACTGTAGCGGTTAGGCGTCAGGTTAAATAGAGTGTACCTACGTCTCATATCGCACAGCACGCGCTGCGACTCGTCCTTTGCCGCATCTGCGTCTCTTCCTTCGCCGCGCGGTGGGCCTCTTGGGGGACACCCTATCCTCACGCCAGCAACACCGTTATCGGTGTACCTACAATGCATATCAAGGAGTGCCATTCACCTTTTCGGATCAGGTTGCAGATCTGATTGAAAACGCATATTCTGTGCGCATTGTAATAGCTACATTAATCTACTCATACATTAGAATTAAATGGAATAAAATAAGATGCTGGTTCCTCTCAACAGCTTCCCTTCCTCTTTTTCTGAACCACTTTTCCATCCGTTTAACTAAAATCAGCAATCCTTCCCTAACCAGCAATCTCATCAATGTGATAAGCATCTTGAGAAAATTGGGGACCACCATCTCATGCGCTTATAGAATCCCTAGCTGGGTTTCACGATAAGTTCCCTGACTAGATTCTCTCCCATTCTACTTCGATAAACCCTCTGGATCCTCTCTCTCCATCTCTCTCTCCCATCTTTGTCCACAAACTTCAAGTGACTTTACTCAAAGTGTTTGTTGATCGGGGATGGGAGGGATAGGTAGGGCGCACTACTAATTTAGGAAAAAGGAAAAAATTTCCATTTCTAACATCTTAAAATTTCCGCGATAGCGGGTTTTCGAAGTCTTGAAGTAATTCTCGAAAACTCCCTCAACCCCATTAAGATCCCACTCCCTGCTTTCGAGAATCCACTGGATTCCCACTCAAATTCCTTTCACTGGAGCCGATCTCGACCTTCTTCGAAGAATCGTCAGCATTGACTCGTCCTCACTCTCGCATCTTCATCTCTTTCGGCCAGCGCTGATTGGTTGGATATGCATAACGCGTCAAACAAGCATTTTAAACTATTTTAATATTACTTTTCGGATAAGACAACACGACGACAATCTTCATTTACACTTCACTACTACTTGCTATTCACAAATACATCATCAAACACGTCGAGAATTTGCTGTGTTTTCCTAAATGTCACGAGATCAATAGGCATGATTAGCCACAAATAGAGACTGTGAAGCAGCCTTGTCGGCATTCGGATCGCCAGAGTATTTGCCAAGGGCGGCCAGTGAATTCGCCTGCGCTCTCTGCATGAACACCGCCTGAAGTTGACTGTCATTTTGAATGATTTTTGGGGTTGAAAAAATGTCGTGTGACTGCTAGCCGTCGAGGGCAATCAACAGAAAAGGCCAATTCACCTGAGCATCTTTGACGTTCTCGTCCTTTCCTGACCACTTCGACATGCATGATGCTTGTAGAGCTCGACCATATGAGAATGTTAGTGCCCATGGTTTCTTCGTATCTAGCTGAAGCCAATCAATTTGTTCTCAAGCACGCTATATCCCAGGACCACCAATACTAAGGCGATACTCTCGTCTGCTTCTGATTCCTTCTTAAGTTTTTTTCTAGGAGAGAGAGATCGAGATCTGCTCTGATACGGAGCCTCACATGCTCTGCTCTCATTTACTGAAATCCGCCGCCAGGTCGGTTCTCAAACGACCAACAGCTTCTTGGCGTATATCCCAAATGCTGTTCGAAACTCACCTTATTCATAGCATTCAAGTTAAGGGTGGCGTCCTCCTCAGACTGCCCTCCCGAAAGGAACACCACTCCAGGAACAGCAGCTGGAACAGAACGTTGAAGAGCAGTTATGGTTGCAAGCGCGATTTCATCGTGCGATGGTTTTTTGCCCTTGAAGGCCTGCCCTGGAAAGCTCAGATTTGAGTAAAAATCAAGAATGATGACCTCGTCTACATTCGATGGCTCACTCACCAGCAGTTACCATGTTCGGCTTCAGTAGAGTTCCTTCAAGGTAGACGTGGTGGTCGTTGAGGGCTCTGTATGGCGCGTAAAATCGATACTCTATGTATGTTGTGGTTTACCTTTAAACAACTCGAATCGTTACCTGTAGCAGTAAGACAGAACGGTCTCGGTGATCTTTCGGCATCTGTCTATGTCATGCTCGCCGTCCGGAAGAATCTCTGGCTCGACGATTGGTACCAGGCCATTTTGCTGACAGATAGAGGCGTAACGTGCGAGCACCTAAATCAGGTAGCACAATTTAGTGGCGATGTGAGCTAGAGGCTTTCTTCCATGGCTATTTCACCCTAGGCAGGTCTATGTGAGGTACCTGAAATACAATTTCTCAAAGCATACCTCTGCTATCTCAACTAGAGCCATGTGCGAAGGAGTGGTGGCAGAAATCTTGTGAACGCAACGCCACTTGGCGAATTGAGCACCATCCTGGAATTAAACACAAGTCAGAAAGTGCTGGAAATAAAGGACTAGATGTGAATGACGAGCTGGTCAGTTCAACCAACCAACCAACCCGAGTTTTATAAAATGCATTGGCCATGTTTGCGGATTGGTCTGAGTGGGACTCACGGACCACATGCCCAGTGTATCCGCCAGCCAGATGCGTATCCACTCCAGACTTCATAGCAAAAGTGACGACGACTTCACAAGACGTAACAACCTTTTGCCAAAGAAATGATTACCCTGTCCGATTGTATTCAATCAATTGACCCTAATTATATTATTTATAAGGGCGGAAGTGGTGTAGTGGCAAGTGGCACGCTTCACCACGCGAGCGGTCCGGGATCAAATCCTGGGTCGTGAGTCGCCCGGGCCAACCAAGCCTTCCATCCCTCCGGGGTCGGTTAATTGGTACCAGACTTGTCTGGGAGGATAAAAACACTGACTTGTACATCGGCTGGCCCCCGCAAGTCATTGTATAGGCCACATCGCATTCAAACGCCACTACGAATGTACAAATGGAAGTAGAATGCGTGCCGCATCCCAAAAGGGATTGATCAACGGCAAATGCTTTATCCTTATCCTTTTATTTATCAACTGTCAACCATCACTATAGGCAACTAGTAAAAAGATTATTTTGGAGGTCGTCGCCACTTGTATCGAGAGTCTATGGTGCAGAATCTCGCTGCCCAACGGATAGAAAGGGAACACATGCATGAATTACAGTAATTTCTCGCGAAATGTGCTTCACTTCCAAACTGTCCTACGTGACTGCAGCAACGTGTTATTCTTCCCTAATCTGCTCCTCGATCCCGACACCGAGTCTCAGATATTTGGGTCTCAGTCTCGAGCTCGAGAAGCCCCTCTACGAATATTAAGTTCTTGTAAGCAAATATCTAGAACACTGACCATTGAACGCGGACTAATCGACACGTATTCCATAATGCCTGACCTGTCGTTATTGCGAGCTCGCATTGACATTCTGTTCACTCGATACAATCACTCGATTTCGCCCGTGCTTTTTGGTGCTTGATGCATAGCGCATTCGCAAATGGGGCAACTAGGACATGCTCCACAGGGGAAGGCAAAAGCCGATAGTACCCACAACCGCAGACACGTCGCTGTTGGAATCTACTGTCTTATCCAACATCACATGCACCCCGATTTCCGATTTTTCTGAAGATGCTCA